TAGGACTGCACCAAGAAATTATGCTGGCCTACCGTGTAGTTTAACTGCGCCGCTTGAAACGCTCCTGACTCGATCGCTACCGGATGTTCTTGTCCTAACTCGTTCACCTGCGATATTATGAAACCCCACCCGAAGAACGAGGCATCTGTCTGTAGTAATGTCTTCAACGAGGGATCAAAGTGAGCCAATACCGGGGCCCTACACATTCTATCCTTCAACTCTTTAAAAGCTCTTTCCTGCTCCATACCCCAGACAAACGGTACATCCTTTCTTGTGAGGTCATTGATCGGTTTAGCAATCCTAGAGAAGTTGGGGACAAAACGCCGATAATAACTAACGACTCCCATAAATCCTCTGCTCTCTCTTAGGTTCTTGGGACGGGGAAAAGACACAACAGCGTCGATGTACTCTGGATTACTAGAAACTCCCTCCCGTGAGACCACAAAGCCCAAGAAGACTACCGAGTCCTTTTCAAACTCGCACTTACTAGCCTTGACGAACAGATTCGACCTTCGAAGAACTTCGAATACCTTCGCCGTAGTTCCTCTTAATTCTTCCAACGTCTGACCATAGATGAGTATATCATCTATATAGACAACTACTCCTTTCCCCAACAGTTCTCTGAAGCTTTCATTTAGGAAATGCTGGAATACAGCAGGAGCATTTCGCAGACCATCTCGAACAACAAGAGACTCGAACATACCGTACTGAGTTCTGAACGCCGTCAGGTGTTCGTGTCCTTCCTTTACCCGTAGGAGTTGATAAGCTCCAATCAGATCTAACTTGCTGAAATACCTCGCTTTTCCTAGCTCTTCGGTTATCTGACCGATCAGAGGCAGTGGATAGGCGTCGGGTATCGTTGCTTCGTTTAGCTTTCGGTAGTCAATGACCATTCGCCATTGACCTTTTGCTTTCTTCGGTACCAAGAACATCGGTGATCCATAGGGCGAATTACTGGGTCGAATTCTTCCGGCCGATATTTCGCGATCTAGGATGTCTCTCAGCGCACTTCTCTGATCTTCTCCAAGCGAGTAGAGTGGAGCAACCTTCAGGTTCGCCCCCTCCTTAAGATCAAACTCCAGATCATAGCCCCTCGAGGGAGGTAATTCTTCTCCTCCCTTCTTCGGATTAAAAACGTCAATGTACTGGTGGTATTGTTCAGGAACTACCTGGAACAACTCGTCTTGTTCCTCCGGGCTCAGCTCTTCAAGCTCATCTTCGCCGCGGAGGTCTATCGCGTCCGTCAGAGTCGGCAGCCCTATGGCCGCTAACTTCGCCGCACTTGGTGGGGTTGGGATGGGGAATTTCACCGAGTTGTCTCTTCCATCAAGGACAACCCCTTCCTTCCTCATCCAATCCCACCCTATCACAACATCTGCGTCGCAGAGCGTTGTTACATCGAGACAAACAGATCGCACTTCGGCGTCCTTCGTCAAACTAAATCCGACTTCGACAAACTCGGTGATGGGTCCAGCGACACTCACCGAGCCGTCGAACATGTGAACGGGTACGCTCACCTGATATCGCCTCTTTTCTACACCTATCTTCGCTGCTGCCTTAGGGCTTATATATGAACAAGTAGCTCCAGTGTCCCAGAGCGTAGTTAGCTTTATTCCATTAATGAAAATGTCCGATTTAGGTTGATCTCTGGAAACGGAAGGGATGAGGAGATGATTATCGACATTGCATGAACAAGGGGTACTGAGTGGTGTATTTTTGTATTCACAATCCTCTGGCTCCATCAGCTGTGTTTCTTTTATGGGTTTGGGAATGGTGGCCGAGAGAATATGGCGGACCCGCCGAGCCTCGCCTACTGCGACAGGTCCTCTTCTTTTCCCTGGTCCTCTTCCAAATCTACTTCTCCTCCAACCGCATTCAAGTTCCTCCTCTGTCCGAGAGGTACTGCGTTCCCTCCCGATCCTCCACCACGTTCTCCGAACTTCTCCCCCCATGGAGGCAACAGTCCAACCTTAACCTTAGCCTCCCTTACAGGGCATTCCTTCAGCCAATGTCCTGCTTCACCACACTCGGTACACTTCCCCTCCTTCCTCCTTGTCTCCCTCAGATCGGAGCTCGGCCTAGGCCATCTTCGGCGAACTTCGTCGATGTTTGGCGGTGTACTCTTTACCACCGTCGACATCATAGCCGCCTGGGCACCACCCTGCGCCGAAGGTTGCCCCTTTTCCCATTTCTTCTCTTCTTTCTTCTCCGTCCTCTGACTTTCCACCACTGTCGTTGTCCTTATCCCTCCTTCCCTTTTCCTCTCTGCCTCCTTCTCCACTTGTCTCCTCCACAAGCGGTTGTCCAAGGGAATCACAAACTCCAATAGCTCTTTTACAGTCCCAAACGATCTACCGTGTCTTGCGATTTCATCTAGAAGGTGCGATTTTAGTCCTTTCTTGGCTCGGTCAACTAGGTTTCCATCATCAGACCACTTGAGAATCGCAACATGTCGCTGAAAGGCGGAGAAGTAGTCCGAAGCAGACCCGGTTTGCTTGAGGTCGTTAAGTTGTCGGGCCGCAGTTCCTTCTTCGTCTGGATCACCAAAGTTAGTCTTGAGGTACTTAACGAACTGATCGTGTGTCGTGAGGTACTCAGGAAGAGGTCTTTTGGATAGATCGGGCTGCACTGCAAGAAGAGGTGTTTCGCGTAGATGAGAGATCATGAAAAAGACTTTCTTAGTGTCGTCGGGGAAAAGATGAGAGTTCAATTCGAAGTGTACGTCGCACTCAGACAGAAAGGCGGTTAACTTGTTCCGATCTCCTCTCCATAGGTCTGGGTTAGGTAGCTTTATCCCTTTCCGTTGTTCGCCCACTACGCTTGGGGTCGCCGAAGTTTGCCGTCCCATGGCGTACCTCACCCCTTCTGATATCCCTTCTGCAATCCCGCCCACTGTATCCCTTTCCCTTCTCTGTTCCCATTCCTCCCTACGTCTTCTCTCCTCCATCATGTCTTTGTTCATATTCGCCACCATCTGCATCAAGGCCAACACCACCCCTTGTGTTCCTTCTTCTCCCAAGTTCGCCGTACTTCCAGTGTTTTCTCTTGGGCGTGGGGTTTGGTCTGATCCCAGTGGGGATCCCACAGGTGGGAGAGCATTAGACGGAGGAGAAGGAGGGTTAGAAAGCACCGGTGGAACGAACTCATCTCCTTGAATTGACCCCCCCACACTATCCTCAACTCCAAGGTCCTGCCCCATTGCTCTGCTAAGCTCCTCCAATGCTCTCCTCTCGTTCTCCTCCATCCTGTCTCCATCCCTACTCATGCCTCGTGTAATTCTTCTTTCTGGTTCCATATTATCTTCGTACTTCTCCGAGGTTCGCACGGGTCGTCGGTAGGAGCGATCCTTGATACTGTCACGGCCGTCGAACAACTACTTCTTAATAGACCGACGGTCGACGAACCTCGGCTAACTTCACGCTCTGAGTCGATGTCTCACCCAACCAGGAGGGCGCAGACGTCGAAAGGGGTGTAACTACGGCGTACTTCGGCGTAGTTACTCTAACTAGGGTTTTGATCTACTGATGGCGATGTATCTTGATTTATAGCTATCTCTATCTGTCTTTTACTACTGACAACAATCAAGGATCGCTGAAGAACTTCAGCGATCTTCTCAGCTAATATTATCTACTCCTCCTAGACGTTCATCCAACCCTCTCGCGCTTTGACGTACTTCAACGCACTTCGTCCAACTTCCCCGAGCCCTCGGCCATCCTCTTCCTCCTTCGACTAACTCCGCCTAACATCGCCGCACTTCTGCTCCCATTGTCCCTACTTAGCCTAACTCCGTCTAACTTCGCCGTACTTCTGCTCCCATTGTCCCTACTTAGCCTAACTCCGTCTAACTTCGCCGTACTTGGTGTCAGAAGTCCTGAGTTACGTGTAGAGTAAAGAGGTTAAGGCGTGATGGGGTTTTGATGGCCAAAGGAGGGTCATTGTTGGTGGAGTAATCGAGGTGTCACGACGTAGTTCGTGACACCGCCTGGACACCACCCTGCGCCGAAGGTTGCCCCTTTTCCCATTTCTTCTCTTCTCTCTTCTCCGTCCTCTGACTTTCCACCACTGTCGTTGTCCTTATCCCTCCTTCCCTTTTCCTCTCTGCCTCCTTCTCCACTTGTCTCCTCCACAGGCGGTTGTCCAAGGGAATCACAAACTCCAATAGCTCTTTCACAGTCCCAAACGATCTACCGTGTCTTGCAATTTCATCTAGAAGGTGCGATTTTAGTCCTTTCTTGGCTCGGTCAACTAGGTTTCCATCATCAGACCACTTAAGAATCGCAACATGTCGCTGGAAGGCGGAGAAGTAGTCCGAAGCAGACCCGGTTTGCTTGAGGTCGTTAAGTTGTCGAGCCGCAGTTCCTTCTTCGTCTGGATCACCAAAGTTAGTCTTGAGGTACTTAACGAACTGATCGTGTGTCGTGAGGTACTCAGGAAGAGGTCTTTTGGATAGATCGGGCTGCACTGCAAGAAGAGGTGTTTCGCGTAGATGAGAGATCATGAATAAGACTTTCTTAGTGTCGTC